TAACGTAAACTTGTGTGTGAATGAGAACTTAGTTTAGTACTCACATGCTGTGACAGCCTCTTTCTGTGCGTGTGCTTCGGATGTGTGCGCTCAGAAAACCTTATATCTGAAGTTTAAACTCATATGGTTTAAAACGCATGATTTCAGCGCGATAAACATGATAATCATAACAAAAACAGCTGTTTTTAGCAGGTATGAGCTGTAATGGCTCAGCTCTATTCTGGAAAAGGGGGCGGGGAGCAGCAGCTCATTTGTATTTAAAGACACAGGCCCAAAAAACAGTGTGTTTCTGCTTCCACTCAAAATAGGCATTTTCAAAATGATATAATAAATTATCTGTGGAGTATTTTGAGCTGAAACTTCACAGACACATTCTGGGGGCACCAGAGACTTATATTACATATTGTGAAAAGGGGCATAATATGTCACCTTTAATGTCAAAAATCATTAGGATATTAAGTAAAGATCATGTTCCATGAAGATATTTTGTACATTTCCTACCGTAAAAATATCAAAACTTCATTTTTGATTAGTAATATGCATTGCTAAGGACTTAATTTGGACAACTTTAAAGATGATTGTCTCAATATTTAGATTTTTTTGCACCCTCAGATTCCAGATTTTCAAATAGTTGTATCTCAGCCAAATATTCCTAACAAACCACACATCAATGTAAAGCTTATTTATTCAGCTTTCAGATGATGTATAAATCTCAATTTCAAAAAATTGACCCGTATGACTGGTTTTGTGGTCCAGGGTCACATTTAAGAATGAATGGTGCCGATGAGCTGCTCTTCCTCACTCGTAGTCATCGATGACGTAATCACTGTGGGAATTTACTTTGTGGTTTTGTGGTCCCGTGTTCCAGTGATCTGAAATTACCTTGTTTCTTGCCCGGACTTGTTTTGCAGCTCTTCCATTCTGTAAGCGTCTTACTCTCAAAATAAACTCACAATGACGTCACACAAGCTTTTCAGCCCACCAGCACAGTGTTAAGATGTATTAGCTTGTATATATTTCCAGTTTTCCCCATGAATAAGTGATAATTTCTCTTTTTTTTTTTTCACACAGACCCAGATACTCAAAACCCAAGCAAGAAAGGATGTGGTGGACAGTCTGTCCTGCGAGCATAAGGACGTGTGCTTGGTTTCAAAAGTCTCATCGGTGCAAAATGAGCACAGTTTTACCCATCAAAACACCATCTTCAATAAAGAGATCACTCGGGTATGATCTCTGTACTCTGTCAATGAAAATCAAGAGAGATTGCTTTAAAAGAATAGTTCACTGAACTGAATACAAAATGAAACCATTCAGCAGCACCATTTTATATGTTATTCATTTGGATTTTATGCATTTGGCAGATGATTTTATTGCATTCAATTCATGCAAGGCGTTTGCTTAAAACAAGAAAAAAACAATATGCCAACATGCTCAGTGTCACAAATTTCACTTTTTGGATTTGAGACATATATAATACAATAATATATAATACATAATATAATATATAATACAATAAATGTATTTAAATTTATTGAAACCATTATTTAAAAAAAAAATAAAAAAAAAAAATAATAATATATATATATATATATCATTATATATATATATCATTATATTTATTGTTAATTTGCTTATGCATTTTGCAGATTATTTTATTTAAAAAATTGTGAATTTTTTTATTTATTAAATATTGTGTTTCTGGATAAAGGAAATTATTTTTTCATAAGTCCATTAAGGTATATATTTTTTTTTACATTGTAATGGTTTATTTTAACAATAACCAATATTGCACAAATATTTTAAATCAGCTTGAATTTGTAATTAAGTAGTGCAAATTATACTAACGTGATATTAAATAGAATTTAAATAGAATTTGTAATAATATAAAACAATGTACACTATAATAAAATATATTTAAAATACAATTTAAATAACATATCATTACTTTCTGTAACATTTTACAAAAATGAATATTGAAGGCAAAATGGTGTGAAAATTTATTTTTGCATAAAGAAATGAAGACTTTTTTAAAGCCCATGAAGAGATTTTTTTTACATTAACAATTTATTTTAACAATACAAAATACTGAAATAATTATTTTAAATAAACATAAATTAGTAATTAAGTAGTGCAAATTATACTAACAATTTAAATATAATTTTAATAATATAAATACATTATATATTTATTTATTTATAAATCATCATTGGAGGGAAAATTATGTGAAAATGCAAAGACAAAAAGCTTGCTTCATTTTCTTTATGCAAAATTTCTTATTTAATTATTCTTGATTTTGGGCGAAATCAATCCTGGAAATGTTCGTTCAATCATCATTCATTTTGCTTCAACTTCACAGCTGAAATTCAGTCTTTGTTTTAATATTTGGAAACAGCATTGCCTTTGTGGACCTTTGTGGATAGATGGACCTGTTGGTCACTTTAGATTTTTTCCAGCTAAACTGAATCGGTTGAGTGGTTGCATTGCATCACTAATGTGGAAAATTACACTTGCAGTTTACAGACAAAAAAGCAGTGTAGATAAAGGTGGAAACTGGCCCTTCTGACCCCGTTCAAGCCCCTCTGTTTCTTTTCTTTCGCTCTTTTTGTCTGAAGTTGGAGAGCGGGCAGCACAGGGGAGTGGGAGGGAAGGGAACAGCCACAAGAGGAGCAATTATTTTGGGATGAGATCATTGTTTGGCCCTGTCTATTCACGCCTCTGGCCTTCTGAGACTAAACCGAGCCGCTTGAGTGCTTGCGTTATCTCATCGCCACACTTGCTCTGACATACAAGGACATTTTTCGGGGATATTTGCTTCGGGACGCAGCTGCTGCTCTCAGAAGCCCGTGTGACCCGTGAGATTTACTAAGCTGAAGTGAAGTGGGAGGCGCAGTGTTTTAGATGACAGACGAGCGTCAGGAACAGTAACACGTCGTTAATGTTAATAGGCTGTAGAAACGCTGCTATTCGTTTAGGAAATGGCCTTTGGATGAATATTCGTGTTGGGCAAAGCCTCTAACTCTTATGGGCGATTCGGTTGACTGATAGCACTGATGAATCTGTGTTAGTGTAGCATTATAGAGTCAAGGATGTGGAAATTGGCCTGCACTTCAGAAAGGTGAATTAAAGTCAACACATCCTCCAGCGCTCTTTAGGATTGCCCCAGAAAACCCTTTTGGGATTCATATAAAAATGGGTTGATTCTATAATTTTGATAATTAAAAGAAATTAGATGTTTTTTTGTTGTTTTTTTAGAAAATGTTAGCGTTTGCCTGTTCAAAAGATTTTTTTATTAATACATTTATTCAGCAAGACTGCATTAAATTTATCAAAAGTGACAGTAAAGACATTTATAATGTTGCAAAAGATTTCTATTCCACATGATTTCTGAAGGATAATGTGACTGAAGACTGGAGTAATGATGCTATTTGCTTCGGGACGCAGCTGCTGCTCTCAGAAGCCCGTGTGACCCGTGAGATTTACTAAGCTGAAGTGAAGTGGGAGGCGCAGTGTTTTAGATGACAGACGAGCGTCAGGAACAGTAACACGTCGTTAATGTTAATAGGCTGTAGAAACGCTGCTATTCGTTTAGGAAATGGCCTTTGGATGAATATTCGTGTTGGGCAAAGCCTCTAACTCTTATGGGCGATTCGGTTGACTGATAGCACTGATGAATCTGTGTTAGTGTAGCATTATAGAGTCAAGGATGTGGAAATTGGCCTGCACTTCAGAAAGGTGAATTAAAGTCAACACATCCTCCAGCGCTCTTTAGGATTGCCCCAGAAAACCCTTTTGGGATTCATATAAAAATGGGTTGATTCTATAATTTTGATAATTAAAAGAAATTAGATGTTTTTTTGTTGTTTTTTTAGAAAATGTTAGCGTTTGCCTGTTCAAAAGATTTTTTTATTAATACATTTATTCAGCAAGACTGCATTAAATTTATCAAAAGTGACAGTAAAGACATTTATAATGTTGCAAAAGATTTCTATTCCACATGATTTCTGAAGGATAATGTGACTGAAGACTGGAGTAATGATGCTTTAAATTCAGCTTTGATCACAAGAATAAATTACATTTTAAAATATATTCAAATAGAAAACAGTTATTTTAAATGGTAATAATATTTTACATTTTTACTGATTTTACTGCATTTTTTATCAAATAAATACAGACTTGGTGAGCAGAAGAGACTTATTTCAAAAACATTTAAAAAAAAATCTTACTGACCCCAAACCTTTGAATGCTGGTGTAAGTCTGTGGGATTTTTTTCACCTGTTTTCAGGTGAAATCGTGTTTCTGATTAGTAATCAAACCATATATGTCTCATCAACAAGACACGTACTAACCTCCGGTATGAGGAAGAGTTTTCACTTTAAATGGAACATTTAAACAATTAAATAACCTGTTAGATATCAGTTTCACAGTACAGTTTCTGCTAATTTACTCAAAGAAGGAAGCTGGAAAACTAGCTATTGTTTTAAAGGGAAGCGGAAGAAACAAAGTGTGAAGTCATGGGTTTCTCGTCACGGTGGGGTAGAAATGAGACGATAGAGTTGTTTACACAGGCTGCAAATATTGAAATACCTTTGAGCCTGTGGGAAGCCATTAAAAACAATGGCTGCTCTTTTATTAGAAATGACATCATATAATTTTTTATCTGCACTGTGAGATCTTGCCAAACATCGTGGCGGGTTTGTTTTTCTTGTCCACTTGTGATGTGTATCTCCTGTGTGTTTTTGATGAGAGAAAGATTTGGATTTATACTGAAACTCTGAGACCATGATGAAAATGATATGATCAATAAGTCATGGTAGAATATGTATTTTCATGACTTTAAAGTGGTCATATGATGCTGCTAAAAATAACATTATTTTGTGTATTTGGTGTAATGAAACGTGTTTATGCGGTTTAAGGTTAAAAAAACACATTATTTTCCACATACTGTACATTATTGTTTTTCCTCTATGCCCCGCCTTTCTGAAACGCTTCGATTTTTACAAAGCTCGTCGGTCTGAAAAGCGAGATGTGCTGTGATTGGCCAGCTATCCAGTGCGTT